AACTGCCTTGTGGTTGTTAGTTTGTTTGTTTGTTGTTTAACGCCGCACTCCGCAATATTCCAGCTCTATGCTGCCGCTTCTAATACCGCAACTGCTAGTTACAGCTGCTTATACTGCTGCTGTTATTCACCTCTTCAACTATTAGGGGCGGTCGGGTAGCCTAGTGGTTAAAGCATCCGCGCGTCCCCCCGAAGACCCGGGTTCGAATCCCGACATGGGCACAATGTGTGAAGCCTATTTCTGGTGTCCCCCGCCATGATATTGCTGGAATATTGCTAAAAGCGGCGTAAAATCATACTCACTCTCTCACTCTTCAACTATAATATATTTATTTTCTTGGCTTGTTGTTCAGCGCGACCTGTGAAGGTCCGGATTAGAATATTGATCTTCAGCAACCCATGCTTGTCGTAAGAGGCGACTAGCTAACGGGATCTGGTGGTCAGGCTCGCTGACTTGGTTGACACATGTCATCGATTCCCAATTGCGCAGATTGATGCTGATGCTGTTGATAACTGGATTTTCTGGTCCAGGCTTGAATATTTACAGACCGCCGCCATATAGCTGGAATATTGCTGAGTGCGGCGTGCAAAACACACTCACTCACTCACTACTACTACTACTACTACTACTACTACTACTACTACTACTACTGACGCGTGAAGATCCGGGTTAGAATTGATCTTCAGTAATCCATGTTTGTCGTATGAGGCGACTAACGGGATCGGGTGGTCAGGCTCGCTGACTGGGTTGATACATGTTATCGTATCCCAGGTGCGCAGATCGATGCTCATGCTGTTGATCCCTGGATTGTCTGGTCCAGATCCGATTATTTACAGACCGCCTCCACATAGCTGGAATATTGCTGAGTTCGGCGTAAAACTAAACTCACTCATTCACTACTACTACTACTACTACTACTACTACTACTACTACTCAGGCTCTCTGACTTGGTTGACATACGTCATCGTATCCCAATTGCGCAGATCGATGCTCATGATTTTGATCACTGGATGGTCTGGTCCAGAATAGATTATTGACAGACCAACCAACCAACCAACTACTACTACTACTACTACGACTACTACTACTACCACCACTACTACTACTACTACTACTACTACTTCTACTACTACTACTACTTCTACTACTACTACTACTACTACCACTACCACTACTACTACTACTACTACCACTACTACTACTACTACTACCACTTCCACTACTCATACCTACCACTGCTACTACTACTACTACTGCTACTACTACTACTGCACTACTTACTACTGCCACTACTACTTACTACCACTACTACCACTACTACTACTACTCTACTACTACTCTACTACTACTCACTACTACTACTTCACCACTACTACTACTACTACCACTACTACTACTACTACTACTACTACTACTACTACTACTACTACTACTTCTACTACTACTACTGCTACTACTACTACTACTTACTACTACTACTACTGCTACTACTACTACTGCTGCTGCTGCTACTACTACTACTACTACTACTACTACTACTACTACCTACTACTACTACCTACCACTACTACCATAACTACTACTACTACTACTACCACTACTACTGCTGCTGCTGCTGCTGTTATTACTACTACTACCTACTACTACTACTACTACTACTACTACTACCACTACTACTACTACTACTACTACCACTACTACTACTACTGCCACTACTACTACTACTACTGCCACCAGAAGCACAACATTTACACCACCTCCCCCAACACGAGTACTACTACCACTGTTTCTACTACTACTACTACTACTGCTACTACTGCCACCAGAAGCACAACATTTACACCACCTGCCCCAACACGAGTACTACTACTACTATTTCTACTACTACTACTACCACTACTACTACCTACTACTACTACCACCAGAAGCACAACATTTACACCACGTGCCCCACCACGAGTACTACTACCACTGTTTCTACCACTGTTAGCACACATAATGCTCCACTAACTCAGATACCGAATACAGTATGTCAGTGAGAAGTGCATTCTCTCACGTAACAGTGAGACAGCTGTTGGCCTACCGTCCAGATGCCGTGATAAGTCATGGAGGCCACACGTCACACAACATCCAAATATGTCTTACAAATAAGGTTCCACAAACTGGTTCCACTCTTGCTTCGCGCAACAAGCTCGTTTTGACCAACATACAGGGCGCTGTCAACATACATCGCATTTTGACCAGTATAGAGCGCGTTTTGACCAGCATGCAGCGCGTTTTGACCAACATACAGCACGTTTTGACCAACATACATCGCGTTTTGACCAACATACAGCGCGTTTTTAGCAACATACAGCACGTTTTGACCAACATACAGCACGTTTTGACCAACATACAGGCGTTGTGAACAACATACAGCACGTTTTGACCAACATACAGGCGTTTTGACCAACATACAGGCGTTTTGACCAACGTGCAGCACGTTTTGACCACCAAACAGCGGCCTAAATGGTACCACGTCCCGCTACAAATGCATGCATAGCTGTAAACCTACCTGTACCTGTACCTCTCATTACAACCAGATGTTTGTGCTCGCTACCGCTTCAGAAAGATCTGACGACGTCACATTTTATCAGATCGTCATCTTATTATAATGATATTTATCGAAAGTATGTTTTGGGTGATAACAAATAATATTATAACCAACTGATCAGCTGATGTTGCATCGTCTTTTGTTGTTTAACGCCGTTGCTATGGCGACACGAACAGACATCAAGTAATCGCGCCCATATCGAGGACAATTATCCAATGTCGTCAAATCGCAGCCCACGAAATATGGGCAGCCACCTGGCTAACTGTTCAGATAGACAGGAGCCCGGTCAAAGGTTGCCATGGTGATCTCTTGATTGCGCAACAGTTATGGATGAAGGCATCGTTTGTACAGATTTGCTGTAGACACTCACGCTGATAATGGCTGTGGAAGTGTTCTCAGACAAATGTGGCTGTTGAAGGCTGACTGTATATATACTGTGTATGGTTGATAAAATTTAGGGGTTACTACTGAGGGGGGAACAACTATTGCGATAGCGATAGTCTATGGCAACATATTGCGATAGCGATAGTCTATTGCGACCAACTATTGCAATAGTTTTGCAATAAAGTTTTTTCTCCTTGAATTGTCTCATTTGAGGTCATTTCCCAAATGAATGTATAGTTTATATGAAATGAAAACAGGTTCACGTAGTTTCAGTCTCTTTTGATAACTGACAAGAAACTTGACACCCAGATCAAGTAAACAGTTAAAACATAAACTCAATGAAGCTGCAAGTCTGCACCCAAACAAAAAAACAACCAAATATACAAAACAACATAAATATTTGTCAACGGAAGTCAATTACTAAACTGTCAATATTCACACATACTATCGATGCATCGATAGTTTTTCGTTTCTATCATCGATTAATTGCTATCGGAGACTCAACAATTGCAACCCATCGATAGTTCGATGCATCGTTACAACCCTAGTATATACTGTGCATGGTTGATATTAGGGGTGACTCTCGGGGGCGAACAGCTATTGCATATCGATAGTCTATTGCAACATACTATTGAAATAGCGATAGTCTTTTGCGACCAACTATTGCAATACTATTGCAATAATGTTTTTTTCTCCTTCAATTGTCTCATTTGAAGCCATTTCCCAAATGAATGTATAGTTTATATGGAATATAAATAAGCTGAAGTAGTTTCAGTCTCCTTTAATAACTGACAAGAAACTTGAAACCCAGATCAAGTTTGTTTAAGAAGTAACAGGGGCGGATAACTCTAAATCAAAGTGAACGAATCTGGTACTTCCTGTATTTTGCGCTGCGCATTTATCACCGGAACTATTATTAAACTATCGATAGTCACACATACTATCGATAGTTTTTCGTTTCTACCATCGATTAATTGCTATCGGAGACTCAACAATTATAATCCATCGATTGTTCGATGCATCGTTACGGCCCTTGTTGATATGTGCCCTCCTGGCTTGCCTGGTAGTTACATCGTTCGCTTATAAAGTCTACAAGGCCGGAATTCCATTGAAATATGGAGACACTCTTTGAAGCTCGTTCTTTGTTAGGCTAACGCGCAGTCTCTGAATAAACATGATTCTGATAGAAACAAATAACTCCATTTAAATTGTAAAGGCGCCCCAGCGAGATGGGAGCTTCAGAACCTCAGGAACATCTGAACCTGCGTCAACCTTTCTATTGCCTGTGAAAGGTGAGTGTGTGAGTGAGTTTAAGTTTTACGCCGCTTTTAGCAATATTCCAGCAATATCACGGCGGGGGACACCAGAAATGGGCTTCACTCATTGTGCCCATGTGGGGATTCGAACCCGGGTCTTCGGCGTGATGAGCGAGCGCCTTAACCACTAGGCTACCCCACCGCCCCTGCAAGTGAAAGGGCTGAACGGAAGGGAAAATAATGTGGTTCAGGGACTGTGAGACAGGCTAAACCTTTGTGTCAACCCAGTCCCGATTAAGACGATGTCACTCTCATCCACTCATTGGGCGGTGGGGTAGTCGAGTGGTTAAAGCGTTTGCTCGTCACACCGAAGATCCAGGTTCGATTCCCCACATGGGTACAATGTGTGAAGCCCATTTCTGGTGTCACCCGCCCTGATATTGGTGGAATGTTGCTAAAAGCGGCGTAAAACCATACTCACTCACTCACTCAGTGCACTAGCAATTTGAAATTGGCCTTAGTCTGCTGGAACAGTCTGTTACCCGCACGCACGCACGCACACACACGCACGCACACCCACACACTCACACTGAGTCAGTCACATAGACAAGAAATAGGTGCCTGGCAACCAACAAATATGATATTGATTTGCTAATAAATAACTAGTCCTAATTAGCACTTTAGTTTCTTCATCCTGACGGTCGCCGATTTAAACAGACCCTACTGCACCCACTTGTTGACAAGATTTGTACAATGTTCTTTTCTAGGTCAACATATGACTAAATTAAATCACGTGACACATCTATATACAGCCCCACGTGGGTCAGCACATTGTGTTTTTGTCGGTCACACTTACTACGCCGCGTGTTGACGCACGGACTCTCGACAAG